GCGTTACGAAAAGTATTTTACAATTAGAGCACCTCATTTCAGGAACATTATCTTATACCATACTTTTTGGGAGCAGGAAAGAAATCTTGCTCTGTTGGTAATTGAACTCGGAAAAGTCAAAGCGTATTACCCAATATACCAGGAAGGTTTCCCATCTGAGAATGGAAAATCCAGTAAGACCAAAACATTTTCATATAAGGGGTAGATTTGTTTGCTCAGAGTTAAATGAGTCTTCAAGGTATTGCTTTTGTAACCCGTCAAACTTCTCCTTGTAGCTTTCTGGATTGCCCCTGAGATCCTAAGAACTGGTGAAGAAGTGGACGTTCAGAAAGCAGACATCTTTGCGCTTGGCATAATCTTCAAGGAAGTGTTTACTCGATCAGCTCCATATTCGGAATATGGGTTCATGAATTCTATCGGTGAGTACATTCAATGCTGTGTTAATCATGAATCAAAATTAACAGGTTTTCCCAGATATCATAGGCAATGTAAAACCATAACAGTTTTCCTTTTGACGATTTAGCGCGGACCATACTGGGTAAAAATGAAATTGGTGCAACAGAACTAGGGTACAGATCAAACGAGTCCCTTCAGAATGTTAAATCACAGTTTTAGTAATGCAAATTTGTAAAAACAAGATTCAGTCCAACTGAATATTAACATTACCGAAGAAGCCGAGCCTACTAATTGCTTCCATCCTTCAAAAATTTGCAAGTTTATTTCAGTATATTGTAGTAGTAGTAGTAGTAGTAGTAGTAGTAGTAGTAGTAGTAGTAGTAGTAGTAGTAGTAGTAGTAGTAGTAGTAGTAGTAGTAGTCGTAGTAGTAGTAGGAGCAGTATTAGCAGCAGCAACAGTAGTAGTGGTAGTAATAGTAGTAGTAGTAGGAAAAGTAGTAGCAGGAGCAACATCAGCAGAAGTAGGAGCAATAACACCACTAGTCGTAGTCGTAGTGGTAGCAGTAGTTGTCCTGGTGGTGGTAGTGCTAGTAGTAATTTGAGTAGTAGCAGTAGTAGTAGTAGTAGTAGTAATAGTATGTAGTAGCAGCAGCAGCAGTAGCAGTAGTAGTTTGTTTTTGTGTTTGAAGTGGTTTTAGTGATAATAGCTTCAACATATTATTGTAGTAGTCGAAGTTATCAGGTTATTGTTTTTATAGGTGTTGTACCATCATCAAAATGTGTAGTAGGTCTTTTTCAGAACGTCGCTGTCATCACAGTCTGCCTAAAAGAATCTTGGTCTCTTGCCAGCTCTCCTGGCTAGTGCACTTTCATATCCAAGGTGTCTCTACTACTGTACCCATCTTCCTGCTAGCTAGACCATGACCCTTTTTCCTGGTATCATGACTTCTGCTGTAAAGTTTTTAAATCCGTACTGGGGCTTGAAAAGGCCAGTTATTGATTCAGTTGTAGATATTGCACTAGTTGTAGCTGTAGGAGCAGGAAAATTATTATTGGCAAGTAGCTGTAGCGGCAGAATGAGACGAAGAAGAAGAAAGAGGAGGGGAAAGAAGAGGAGAATGATTTGTCTGAATGGAGGACCATCGACTTCATAACTGAAAAACTATCATCCCATTTCAGTGCATGTCTGGTAATTCTCTGAATGTTTTTTTTTTAGCAAATAAATTTTTACAGGGTGTGGGAGCTTCCCCTGAGTCAGGGCCCGAGGTGGAGTGGTAGGAGTGTCCTAGACCAGTTCTTCTCATAGATAGGGGTCCGGTCACCTTAGCACCCCTTGGAGTGATGCGGCAGTGATTCAGGGAGTTATTCTGGGGTTAGAGTTCTGCATGCTGACTGTCTCCCAAGTTAAAGTTAAGGTCCAGAGGATAGACTTCATTTCACCGGGTTTTATCCCATTTGGCTCGGCCTCTCTCCACAGAACAGCTAAAGTCTGACCAATAAATCTCTATCGTCCACTAACGCCCCTATCTTATACTCTACGTTTCAAGGGAGAAAACAGCGAAATGTTTTTTGTTTTTGTTTTTGTTTTCTTAAGAATAACTGTAGGAGGAACAAATGTTAAAAGTGAGAAAAAAAACTCCAGCTAAAGTTGGCTTTTACTGATTGTCGCAATAAAAAAAGAAATACACAATAAATTGTGCTGCCAATATGATTGTTAATTAAATTAAACATTGTAGTCTTATTGGCAAATGAAAATGTAACCCCTTTACTGGTCAAAGTTAGGTAAGAGTTACCACTTTATTTATAATAAAGACTGAAAACACTGAAAGGGTTTGTGATTTAAAGTATTCGTTTATTTATAAATATTTTTCAGACACATACAAACACACTAAGTGAAACATAACGAACACTTAGTACGCCAGTGTCGCATCAGGCATATAATCTTATTCATATTTTAATACGCCGACCATCTTTACTTCCCAGGACATTACATAGTACCCATTTTTGGTTGGGTAGAACTAGGAGCCAACGTCGTTATTATAAATTCATATATATGCTGTTGCCGTATGTATTTGGTATTCCGACTTAATCATAGTGAGATTTGTACATTTCTTTGAACAGATATTCTACACCGAGTGATGAGAACAAAAACCAACAGTTTACCATTTAGACCATTACTGAATGGTGAACTGAAGAACAACCATGAGCTGTGTCAGCTAATCATGGACTGCTGGGCTGAAGATCCGTGTGTACGGCCCTCAGCGACCCGAGTACTCAAAACACTGGGCAGACTTAATCCCTCCAAGTAAGTTGATCTTGATGTGGTGTGTGGATAAACACTTAGGTTAGTTCCATAAATATACTACTGTATATGTTTGATCATAGGAAGGGGAAGTGCAGCCCGATAAAAATGTTAGGATTGGGTAGACATGACCATAGCCTTTGGTGGGAACCGGTCTAGGAGGGAAGCTCTGAATGGCGGGAAGAGAGAGAGAGAGAGAGAGAGAGAGAGAGAGAGAGAGAGAGAGAGAGAGAGAGAGAGAGAGAGGAAGAGAGATAGAGAGAGAGAGAGAAAGAGAGGAAAGAGAGAGAGAGAGAGAGAGAGAGAGAGAGAGAGAGAGAGAGAGAGAGCGCTGCTCTTTGTATCCACCAGCTTCTACAATGTTTTATCCCAAAAGTATTAATGTATCTTTCCTCTGGAGAGATTAAGTCAGGTTAATAGAGGGATCATGATGGATGGGCAATACATGGTCACTACAATACCATCCAGGCTTTGTGCTAAAAAGAGAATGAGCTTCCTCTCTGGCTTCAGCTGGTCTTAGAAACAACTTTGCATGGAGCCAGCGGATCTTGCTGTAGATCCCATGCTTCTCCGTAACACAGTACAATACTATCACCTGAAAAGACAAAAAGCTGCCAGCAAAACAAGTGCATGTGTCACGAGGTTTGTTTATTACTGGTCTAACCAGCGGATAAAGCAATGATGGCATCGTAACATACCATGTTTGTCTTAAGAGGTGACTGTTGATTGTTGTCTGCCTCAAAATCGTGCTCCGAAGATCATATCACACGTCTTTCCCTTGCAAAATAGCCTAATTTAATGTTTAGATGTTCATAATCCAGAAAAGATCTAAATGCAGCGTTGTATCATTTAAAGCACATCTATATGTATGTGTGAGTATATGTGTGGATCAGCGCGCGCATGCGTGTGTGTGTGTGTGTTTGTGTGAATGTGTGTGTGGCTTTATTGTTTCCCAACACTTCTTTTAATGTCTTCCCTCTTTACGACTCCGTCTCGTCCTTTTTCCTTCCTAGATAATCTCCAGAATTTTCGGCAAATTGCTTGGTATCATTTTTATGAAGATTAGGTCGACCATACAGTCCTCCTGTCAAAAAAATTAATCCCTCTTCTGTTGAGGTTTGACACTGGACTGCTGTCTTGGTAGAAGAATGCCCTTTTTCTTATTTAGTCCACTCCCTGTGGCGATGGCAGTCATGTCTGGTGTATTTTCAGTGAAGTCTGATAAAAGATGATCTACCATAGACCTTGCCGTGTGGCATCGGTATGAAAAATGAAATTGGTAGTCATTTCTATCCATAAGGTTCCGTCTCGTGTACGTTCTGTCAGTACTGATACAGATGATTTTCCATACCATGATGTCAGATTGTCCTTCATCTTCTCTCTCGGTTTCCCTCGGTCTTCCCCCTTGCCCCCCCCCCCTCTCCAACTGTCCCGCAGTCATGATGTACTTTTATTTTTTTTAGTATCCAGAAGCCATGCATTTTTAACCCTTAGGCTCGGTATTATTGATATAGCAACCATTCGGCCTTGATTCCATGATAAATACCGTAAATCTGGGAGAAATGTGGCTTTTCTGCCTACCTCCAGACGTGAACCCAGGACCACAACGAGTTCGTCACCCGGTCACCGCGCAATCCTGTTTAGCCAACTACGCTAGCGAGCCGGGTTCATGATGTACTTCAGTTTTCTTCTTCTCACGAATGTACTAAAGAATGTAGAATTGTCTCTTTGAAGCGCGCTAAACAAAAGTAAAAGTTAAGGACACTTTTCCACGCCTCCAGGCTCATTGGGTATATAGGGCTAGACCTATATTTTATAGACCAAACAGCACTTTGTGGGTGATGTGGTCATCATCAGGCCGGCCGCGTTTACTTCACAGGGCTATAGCTCATACCCACTCAAGGCTGGGTCGACCTGGGAGCCTAGGTCATTTTTTTTAATGAAAGAAGTCCTAACTCTGTGAGGACCTGAACCCACGACCTTCTGATCTGCAGGTGAGCGTTTAGCCGCTAGGCCACGGCGGCTCCCACTGAAGTGCCCTAACCACTAATTAATGGGAATTTGTACAATTATATCCATATAAAGAACATTATGACCTACTAAATCAAACTAAACTAAGATCTACTTTGGCTACTTTTGGAGGAATTTTTTCTTTGTAGGCATGTGATCGAAAATAGGTATCCATAACGAAAATTAGAATACTGTTTCTTGCATGTTCAGCTGTAAACTCACTGTAGCCGATTCATGGGACAAAACCTATACTTCTTGAAAACATTTCAACGAAACAAACATTGGCTGCTTCTCATCGTTGTATACGTCCGTTATGAACCTCTCGAAGCAATCTCCACATGTCCTTTTTTGTATACTCTGGGGCAGCCTGAAAAAAAAAAAAAAACGGTGAGGGGAAAGGGGGGGGGGCGGAGAATAGAATAGGAATGCAGAGGATCAAAGCATGTCTTGAATTTAAATAAAACAAAAATAGGGTCCACACACAAAACTGTATGTCACTTTCAAATTAAAAAAAAAAAAAACAATACAATACATCATACAGAAATTGAAATTGCCACAATCTTTGATATCTAGGCTCCGGGATAAACACTAAAATAGAGACTGTTCAGCCGAGATCAAAAGGAGGATTGCCACAGCAGTAGACAGATTGAACATGATTAAAAGTCCATGGTTACGCCCCAGCAACAAAAAACCAAGTCAAAATTGTGTGAGCATTTCGCTTGACTGTAGCAATATACGGAAGTGAGTCGTGAATCATCGCCCAGGCCTTAAGAAAGAAAATAGGAGCTTTTGAGCTGAAACGCTATGTAAAGATTCTCAGAATACCATTAAAAAAAAAAAAATAGTGACTTCCTCAAAGATTTGAACACCAAGGTAGATTGACTAACAAATAGCATCTTTTCGCGGAAGCATACATATTGTGGCCATTTCAACTGCCCTTGGGCGCTGGACAAAAAAAAAAAAAAAAAATATAGCAAATGGCATGGTGTCAAGACGGAGGGGTAGGGGCCAACCAACACAAAAATAAACATAGCATGTAAGTGACTTCTTAAGAATAAAATACACAAGGCGGGAGAAAAGATGAGAGACTGCGTTTCTTTCAGGGAAGCCGTGATGAGAGCGACGTTCTGCAAGGGACCTGCAACGCGTTGGACACTTCTTACATAGCAAGTAAAGTAATGGATCCTTTTGTAACGCTTTTAGGCGTATTCAGCATATAGGGCTAGACCTATATTTTTATAGACCAATCGGCACTTGGTGGGTGATGAGGTCAGCATCAAGCCGGTTGCCTTAGCTTCCCGGGATTGCCCCTGATACCCAACCATAACTGGGTCTACCTGGGAGCCAAGATCAGTTTTGAAAAAAAAAAAATCCGGCTTTGCCAGGATCCGAACCCACGACTTTCCACGGCGACTCTTGAACGGTTGTTAAATAAATTTTGTTTTTGGCCTTTTTTTTCCATAGAACGTAGGAGTTTGTTAAAAGTTAAATACAAAATGTCTGTATCATTCACCTTTCAAGGATTTTATTTTCATTTTCGTCCCTAGCCCACGGTGAAATAACGTTACTGTACAAATGTATTAGGAGATTTCTGTTATCCGTCTATTCAGCCTAGGCCGGGACGGTGACGGTTAATCGAACTGAGCAACGTTAATGGGTCACTCATTTACTGTCGGATAAGGGTAAACACAGGGGCACGGAAACAAAAGAAAAAGATATTGGGGAGGGGGGGGAGTGGAGGGAGAACAGGGAGAGGGTGGCTGCTTGAGTGACGGTAAAGGGCGCGTTAGGTCAGTCACCTTTACACATTTTCTAATGGCAGGTAGCTCAAAGGACCTAAGCTTTCTTTATGTGCGTAATAATAATGAAAATACGACTAATGGCAAATACATACAATGTTCGAGTGTGAAATAATATAAATGTATAAAGAAATCTATAATAAAAAAAAAAAAAAGAAGTTCTGTACATGTTTAGGGGTTGGGTCGCTAAAATTCTTCTCAGTGTGTCACACATTCAGGGACAGAAATATGTAGGCGAACACACATACAACACAATGGGTTCTCTACAGACTGAAACCCAAGATATTCACCCCGTCAGAGAGTCTACGTAGTGCTCTACTGCGCCTAACACACAGAATGCGCTTGCTATTTAGAATGAGTTTCTTGTTCATTCATTCATTCATTCATTCATTCATTCATTCATTCATTCATTCATTCATTCATTCATTCATTCATTCATTCATTCATTCATTCATTCATTCATTCATTCATTCATTCATTCATTTATTCATTCATTCATTCATTCATTTATTCATTCATTCATTACGTTCTTGTGCCATTATATGTCATATAGCCTCTCATTAGGGTTTGTTTTAGGTTGTTTTTTTTCCTCTATACGTCTTGACTTCATCAATCCAATTATTTTTACATTTGTGTGCCTGTTTGATTATTCTCTGCTGGGTGCTTCCAAGGATGTATCCAACGCCATTTTCTATGTCTTATAACTGTTGATACTACTGGTTGCCAGGACATTTCTATTATTTCTTACCCCTCTTGAATTCATCCTATTTTAAATTCCACATGTTTCCCCAGGCATTTGTTTTCAAATGCATTAAACTTCCGTTCCATATCTGTATTGGTTCTCCTACTTTCACCAGCACAAGTTCAAACCGAAATGACATTAGAACTGAAAATACGTGACTAGGTTTTAAAACAATGCAGTTTTGAGCTCCATATTTTCTTCAAAATTTTTAAAGCTGCTAATGCTTTGCAAGTGCGTGTCGTAATATACTTCATTCTTTTCAGAATGCAATATGTCGTCCCCATGTAGGATGCAATTTTTTGTTATTCGAAGACACACCCTGGCTTTTGCCGTGGGCCCTGAATATAGCCAGGCCATAAATATTGCCTTGCCATAGATATGGCCATAAACGCTAAAAAGGTTTTCTGGCACCTCTCCACGGGTGATCCTCATCTGCGTGGTGGTACTTTCTGTCACCGGGTGTTTATCGCTTGTGTGATGTTATGGTGGGGTACAACTACCTACGTACCTACCGTGTCGTAATTTGTTAACTTACGTCCAAAATCTCCGTCATATTCAGTGAAACATTAATCCATGTGTAGAGATGACAGAGCTCTACACTGTTGACTTTATATTTGACACTGTTGAGACCTTCCACATCTTGTCGTCGCGATGAGCTTTTCATAATGTTTCTCCTGGAAGACATTCAAATAGGTGAATTAGTATGTAAGTAAAGTAAAAGTAAAGATCCCATTTTACGCCTTTATGCGCATTAGGCATATGGGAAGAGCATCCCATATTTTCACACATCAGTCGACACTAGTAGGTAATGCGGTAAGCGTAACGCCAGCCGTCTTTACTTTCCCAGGACAGCCATTCTGGTACTCATTTAAGACTGGGTCTACTTGCGACGCCCTGTACCACGATTAAAACCACGCAGCCAGCAGTCAGTTTCGATCGCGGTACGTTGGAATTACTAGTCGGATTCGCAACACCCAAGGAATTAGTATGTGGTATTTTTTTTAATAATTTCTACGGTGGCTTCATGTTGATCACATCACTCATGGAGGTGGATTATAAAATGATGTGCCTAGCCTTATATGCCCGGGGCGCCACTGGTGTGCAAAGTGGCCTCATCATTCTTTTAAATACGTGGAGCCACTTGGTGTGACAGCTAGATGCTCACATGCTGGTCTTTAGGGACATGGTGTCCGCCTCGAGTGCTAGAGGTTCCGGGTTCAAGCCCCGATGAGGGCTGGGATTTTTTTCACGTCGACTTGAACTTCTAGTAATTCCCCCTGGTCTCTGAGTAGTGAGATCGGACGCTTGTGGGCATTATTAAGCACGTAATAAATCCATTAGAAGTCGAAAAGACTAGCCTAACGGCGCTGCCCGAGCAAAAGTTGGAGTTACAAATCTACCCAAAGTATTTCAGGATCCTCACCGGTGCCAAATCTACCCAAAGTATTTCAGGATCCTCACCGGTGCCACAGAGCCTGTGTACTGTGCTGAGCTTCTTCGGACTCAGACTTGAATTAAAAAAAGAACGGAGCACTTATGGGTTACTACCCATGTGCCATGATGTTGATCCGTTGTCCAGAACCTCAAACCTCAAACCATTACCTGCTTTAACTAGTATCCTATGCCCGATGCGCTACCGGAGTGAAAAAAAGTCCTTTATCATCATCATCACCATCATCACCATCATCATCATTATCATCGTCATCAATTTCCCCTTTTGCAGTTAGGCGTCTTTCCTTATTATTCTTTGTAAATTTGTTTCCGATTTTAAGAATTAACTCCTGATTATTATTTCACAGAGAAAGTGTGGCTAATACGATTATCTGCCCACCTGGACGTCTTGTGCTCGATTCCCGTTTGAGGGATGGGGTTTTACTGTTTAACACTCTGTCTTTGCTTTTAAGGCAACACAGTTTTAAACGGATAGAATGAGATTGTATACAGAGTGAAGGCTTTGGGTCATTATATGCATCAAAAAACCGGAAAACACAGTCTTACCATCCTCGAAAATGTTGGACGGTCCTCTGACGTCCTCTGGAAGTAGGATATTACGAAAGAACCCCGTTTTGTGAAAGTTGTTGGAATTCGGCATACAACATGATAATAATCCCCTCCTTGTCAGAATTTATTTTTGAATATTGAATGTTGAATGTTGAATTAAGAATTGACATCACAGCACTCGGAATACTCCCATAAGTGATAGGTTCCCATCGTCAGCAGCATGCGAAGAGTTCCAGTTCCGATGGTACAAGTAACCGTCTGATTGTATATCCATCTCATCCTTTCCTTGAGTGTTGAGCGTCGGCCAGATCCCCTGGTAACTCCTCGCAGCGCCGTTCTCCTTAGGCCGTAATGATCTATCTGCGACTCCGCACTGTTCACTCGCTCCCAAAAAGCCCTCACAATATCTAACTTGTCATACATCCAAGTGGTACAGAGCTAGCCAGTCTATCTGCCTGCTCATTTCCCAATTTATTTTTAAGTGTTAACAAACATGTGGGTTTTTTTTGGCCACATCTGCAGTTTATGAAAACACAGACACTGATTGTTTGCTTTAAATCGGCGTCTATGTTTTTATCGAAACAAGGTACCATTTCAACGAAAACAAAATAATCATGTACTATTTGCAGTGTGCAAAATTGCATCTTTTTATCTTTATTAAATGCCGCGAAAAAAAGATATATGACATTACTTTCCGAACGTCTCTTGTAATACTTTCGGCTCTTCATAATAAATGCAAAGCAACTATAA